CCAGGAACTGCCGGGCTCTGCCCCCGCCTCTCCAGGGAAGGAAAATCCACTCTCCCCTCACCTGGAAAATCACTCTCCACCTCCCCTCGCCATTCCCATCCCAATCCCATCCCATCCCAATCCCCATCCCATCCCAATCCCCATCCCAATCCCCATCCCAATCCCGGCCCTGAACATCCAGCGTGGGACAAGGCCAGGCTTTAAAAGATCCGTTTAAAAAGCAGCCCAGGCAAAGCTGCTCTGTGTCCCCGGGCAGGGCTTCTCCACTCCTGATCCCCCTGATTCTCCATCCCAGAGAGAAAATCCGGCAGCAGGTGAAGCATCAGCTGCCCATCCCTCATTCCCCGCACCTCGCACCCCCCGTTACCTTCTTGTTTAACCCGAGTGAACACATCCCAAAAAAACCCAAAAAACAAACAACAAACCGAAAAAAACCCAACTAAACCCAAAATAAAGAAAAATCAACATAAGCAGCACCACAATTCCCAAATGTCAGGAGCTCCAGAGCTGGAGCAGAGGCCTGGAACATCCCCATATCCAAAGGGACCGACCCCACCGGGCATTCCCGAGGATGGAGACGCTGCCAGGGCCCGGAGCTTTGGGGCCGGGGCTTTGGCGCTGGGGCTGGGAGGAGGAGGAGGGAGGGGCAGTTCTGCGAGGAGGGAGGACGGGGAGCGGTGGCAGAGGCAGCAGTGCCAGCTGGGCTCACACGGCAGCTCGGGTGGGAGTGCTGGGCTGGTTCAGCCGCAGCGTCCGGCACAGCCAGCCCGCAAAATCCACCTCCTCCACCTCGGAGCGCTTGATGAACGTGTGGCTCTGCAAGCACAGGGAAAACACGGTCAGCAGCAGCCCCCAGGAGCATCCCACCTCCCAAAAAGCCAGCCCTGCGCTCTGGGATATGCCCTGGAGAGGAGGGAAGATCCTGGCGCAGGGAGAGAGGATTTGCCCTCCCACCATCACAGGAATTCCTTCCCACTATCCCATCCAGCCCTGCCCTGTGGCACTGGAGCCATTCTCTGGCTCCTGTCCCTCCATCCCTTGTCCCTCTCCAGCTCTCCTGGAGCTCCTCAGGCCCTGAGGGGGCTCTGAGCTCTCCCTGGATCCTTCTCCTCTCCAGGTGAGCCCCCCCAGCTCTCCCAGCCCGGCTCCAGAGGGGCTCCAGCCCTGGAGCAGCTCCAGCCCCTCCTCTGGACTGGCTCCAGCAGCTCCAGCTCCTCCTGATGTTGGAGCAGAGCTGGAGGCAGCTCTGCAGGTGGGGCCTCACCTGGACAGGGCAGGATCCCCTCCTTTCCCTGCTGCCCAGGGCTCAGCTGATCTCTGGGATGAGAGCACAGCTCGGATCCAGCCCCCAGCTGAGGAGCCAGGCCTGTCCCAGCAGAGCCTGGACTGGCTCCAGCCGAGATCCATCACTGGATCAAGGGGTCCATCCCTCCCCTCTGCCCCATCTGCCTCACCCTGGGAATTCCCAGCCTTTGGAGGGATGGGGTGGCAGCTGGTGCCACCCCAGTGCAGGAGCAAAATCCCCTCCCCACTCACCATCAGCATCTTCAGATCTGCTCGTTCTGCTGGGTTTTTAATTAAGCTGAAACGAGAAGAAGAGAGCGAAGCCAACGTGAGATTCCTTGTGGGAACGTGGGGATCAGGCTGGAGAAGCTGCAGCTTCACCCAAAGCCCCCCAGGATCCCGGGAGAGGCCCCAGCGCTGCCAGCTCAGCTCCCAGGGAGAGCTGCAGGATCCATCTCCTGCAGACTGCGGGGACAAACTGTGCCCTGCAGATGGAGAGAAGGCACCGAGGCTTGGCAGGAACCGGGCATTTCTGTAATATCCAATCTCTGCTTTACTGGGAGCTCTGGCAGCACCTTCAGGTGTCCCTGTGCCCACGGGGTGACTCAGCCCCGGGATCTGCTCCACTGTCCCCCCTCGCCAGGCTCAGATTCAGGAGGAGCTGGGATCCTGCTCTGCAGCCCCACAGATAAACTGCTTTTATCCCAAGCAGTCCCAGCACCAGGTGGGATCAGGCAGGGAGAGAGAGAGATCAGGCAGAACAGAGGGTGCAGCTGCAGAGCTGTCAGGGAGCACGTCCAGGCCTCCACCTTCAGCCCCGAGATGAAATCCTCACCATTTATTTACAAACTCCTGGAAATCTTGCGTGAAGACTCCACTTGGCAGCTTGGGAGGCGGCTGTGGAGAGAGGAAAAGGGGTTCCTGCACCTCTGCTGTGTTACTGTGCCAGAAACCAGCGCCAGCTGCAGTGTCAGGGAGCTGTGCTCTACAGCCACTCTCATCCTCCTCATCCTCGCTGCTTTTCCAGCCAGGAAAATCCTTCCCTGCCATTCCTTCCCCTGCTGCTCCAGCTTACTCTGCACCTGGGGGACCCCACACTGAGCCCCAGCAAAAGCTGGGAAATCACCAAGCATCCCAATCCTAAACCCAACCTCAGAAATCCCAGCTCTGGCCGTGCCTGTGGCTGGTGAAACAATCCCAAAAAGAGAATTTTCCATCACCCTGGAAAGGGGAGCTGCCCTTTCCACTTGCTTGGGTGGGACAAGGGGGATGGCCTTAAGCTGGAGGAGGGAAGGTTTAGATGGGATTTTGGGAAGAAATTCCTCCCTGTGAGGCTGGGGAGGCCCTGGAATGGAATTCCCAGAGGAGCTGTGGCTGCCCCTGGATCCCTGGAAGTGCCCAAGGCCAGGCTGGAGCCCCTGGGGACAGGTCCCTGCCCATGACAGGGGTGGCACTGGATGAGCTTTAAGATTCTTCCAGCCCAAACCATCCTGGGATTCCCTGACTGAGCAAACATTCCCGATCCCACCCTGACTGGGCAGAGCAGGCACATCCCTGCGGAACCTCCGGGAATCCCGGCAGAGCCCCGGGAAAACCAACACCCACCTCGTTAACGATGTAATCCAGCAGCTCAAAGATGGCCATGGCAGGCCTGGTGTCCATCCCGTGGCCTGGGGGGTGACACAAACCACACAAACGGGGCTGAGAGGCTGCTCGGGGCTCAGTTTGGGGTGAAAAACACGACTTTGGGGACAGTTCTGCTGGGAGAGGCTGAGGCAACTCCCAGGGGAATTGAGTCATGGTTCAAGAGAAATCGAGTTCATTCCCAAATTGGATTTCCTTCGCCAGACCTCCAGTCCAGATTTATTTCCCAGCTTGGAATGTTTGGACAGCACCAGACCATCTACTCTGGCTGGCTGGCAGCGCTTCCAGAGCCTTCTGCTCCCAAGGAAACGGCTCCAGCAGAGGCTCCCTGGAATCCTGGTGCTGGTTGGTGCTTCCTTGAGAGCTCCCAGCAAAGCTCTTCCCAGAAAGAGCCCGACAGGAAGGTGCTGGCAAAGCCTGAGGAGCTGTGACAGTGTCCCTCAAAGCGCCCTGCCCACGGGAGCCCCGTTCCAGCCGTGCCCGCAGCACGGGGGGCTCAGCCCCTCGGGGGGACACGGGAGGCTCGAAGGAGCCCTTGGACTCTCCAGCAGATCCCAAATCCACGCGGAGGGCGCCCTCCCCGCGCTCCCAGCGGAGCCCCACAAACCTGTGGCGGATTTCCCTGCAAACATTCCCAGCACAGGCTCGTGGGGAGCGGCTCTCCCACCCCAACCCCGCTCATCCCCCATGGAAGCGTTGCTGCCGATGCACACCACAGCCCCTACCACTGACGGGGCGTCCTGGGGGCCTGGCCCGCGGCGAGATGCTGGGGGACTCTCCCTCCGCCCCGTCCACCACAGGACGGCCAAAAATTGCTTCCAGTTCCTTGGAGTCTGGCGGGGGGATTGGGTACCTTCCGATCGACAGCTCCACTAGGGACAGCCCCATGCTCCAGATGTCCGACTGCACCGAGTAGTGCGTGCCCTGCAGGCGCTCGGGCTGCGGGGAGAGCACACGGAGGCACTGGGAACGGGATAATGGGAACGGGATAACAGCTAATGGGAACGGGATAATGGGAACGGGATAACGGCACTGGGAACGGGATAAATGGGAATGGGATAAGGGCACTGGGAACGGGATAACGGCACTGGGAACGGGATAACGGCACTGGGAACGGGATAATGGGAACGGGATAATGGGAACGGGATAACAGCACTGGGAACGGGATAATGGGAACGGGATAAGGGCACTGGGAACGGGGATAAGGGCACTGGGAACAGGATAACAGCTCTAGGAATGGGATAAGGGCACTGGGAACGGGATAAGGGCACTGGGAATGGGATAACGGCACTGAGAATGGGGACATGGCATTGGGAATGGGATAAGGGCACTGGGAATGGGGATAAGGGCACTGGGAATGGGGATAAGGGCACTGGGAATGGGATAACAGCTCTAGGAATGGGATAAGGGCACTGGGAACGGGATAAGGGCACTGGGAATGGGGATAAGGGCACTGGGAACGGGATAACAGCTCTAGGAATGGGATAAGGGCACTGGGAATGGGATAAAGGCACTGGGAATGGGATAACGGGACTGGGAATGGGGATAACGGCACTCCCAGGCACTTGTGTTTGGGATCTGGAACATCCAACAGGAATATCTATTTCCCTGTGTGTTGAAATCTAAGGAACTCAGCTTATCCATAAAAATGTTTTTTCCTGCTCACTGCTGTTAACACCCAAGAGGAACCAGAGGAGCAGAAAATCCACTCGAGGTTACGGCCATTAAGAGAAAAAATTAGAAATAAATCAATCCATGCAAGTCATCCCCACTGGCAGCTTTGAGGGAGCTTGGAGCCAGGGCTGGGAGCAGAGGGGACAGGAATTTTAAATAGCCCCTGTCTAACTATAACTGCACTGGAATAACCATTCCCAAAATACAGGAGCAGCTCAGACCTTCCCTGGGAGGGTGGGGAAAGCCCTGGCACAGGTTCCCAGAGAAGCAGCCCCTGGAGTGTCCAAGGCCAGGTTGGACACCAGGGCTTGGAGCAGCCTGGGACAGTGGGAGGTGTCCCTGAGAAGCAGAGGGGGATGGAGACAGCTGAGACAAACCCAAATCACCCAAAAACCCCGCCTGGAAGGAACTTACAGACATGTAGGACCGAGTTCCCACAAAGGAGTTGGCCATGGAGTCAATGAGCTGCCCGCTGACCCCGAAATCACAGAGCTTGATCTCCCCTCGGGAATTCACCAGGATGTTGGAGGGTTTCACATCTGGGAATGGTGAGAGAGAGGAGTGTGAAGGTGGCTCTGGGTGACACCTGGCACTCCAGACTGGGGTTTCCAGGGCCCTGCTCTCACCTCTGTGCATGATTTGGTGCTTCTCCCGCAGGTAGGCCAGGCCCCGCAGAACCTGGGAGGAATCCAAAGGCTGGCTGAGAGCAGAGCTGAGCGAAGAGCTTTGCCCTCAGCTCAAGGGGAGCTGCCCTGTGCTGTCCACATCCCTCAGGGTTTGCAATTTGTCCCAAATTCCATCACAGATTTTGGGTGAACCACCCAATAAAGCTTCTCCCAAACCTCCTGGAGGTGAAGCCAACATTATCCAGAGGGGCTGGAGGTGGGGAAAAGGGTTGGGAATATTTCCCCTCTGCACTGGCCTCTCGGCCCAGGAAAGTGCAGGATTGGGAAACACAAAAAGCTTCCCAGGGCAGCCCAGGCTTTATTCCCCATCCCAAACCCCCGCTGGAAGCCTGAGCAGCCCCATCACTCACCGCTATACTGACTTTGCCCAGGATTTCCTCAGGAATTCTTTTGGCTTCTTTCAACACTTGATCCAAAGAGCCTCCATCCTGAAATAAATGGGAATGACCAACACAGCAATTCCCAGCAGGAAACCAAAGCAGCTGGATGTACAGGGGAGCAGGTGGTGGGTGAGCAGCGTTGGGCACACTCCTTTTCCAGCCAAAACAACGGAGATCTGGTGATCTGAGCTCAAGTTTATCACTGAAAACTGTTTTTTTAACAGCTCTGCTTCTTGCTGTTGTTTCCTCCCATCAGTGGAAATGCCAAGATGATTTGGAGGAGAAATAACATCGTTCTCCACCAGAAACAACAGAAGATGTTCACTGAGCCTCTCAGCAGGCTCTGCAGAGCAGTGGCTTGGCAACATTTCCGTTTGGCCAAACCCCAAACCTCTGCTTCCGCTTCCCAAAAGTCGCTGTCTCCCTCATTCCGAGGCCTGAGCGGGAATGTGTGGCTCCCACCAGGAGCTGAGCGGCCAGAGCAGGGAGCTGGCAGGGAGAGGGGACTTGGGAGGCTGCAGGGAGGGCCCTCACCATGTGCTCCATGCAGATGGAGATCTCCCCATCGCTGTAGAAGGCTCCGTAAAAGCCCACGATGTAGGGGGAGTTGCACTCGTGCAGCACCTGCAGCTCCCGGATGATCTGGTTCCTGATGGCTGGTTTGATTTCCAGATGGATCAGCTGCCAAGAGAGAGCACGGGCAAGGTGTGAGTCCTGCAGCGAGAGAGAGCTGAGGGGGAAGGAACATCATCTGGGGATCTTTGGGAAGGAACATCGTCTGGGGATCTTGGGGAAGGAACATCGTCTGGGGATCTTGGGGAAGGAACATCGTCTGGGGATCTTGGGGAAGGAACATCGTCTGGGGATCTCTGGGTAGAAAGGAGATCCTCAGGAGAGGCACAGCCCTGCAGAGGAATCTTTGCCATTTGCACACTAATATAAAGTGCCAGGACACAGGGAATGGCTTCCCACTGGCAAAGGGCAGGGTTAGCTGGGATATTGGGAATAAACCCTGGGAGGGGATGAGGCCCTGGCACAGGGTGCCCAGAGCAGCTGTGGCCGCCCCTGGATCCCTGGCAGTGCCCAAGGCCAGGCTGGACGGGGTTTGGAGCAGCCTGGGACAGGGGAAGGTGTCCCTGCCATGGCAGGGGCGGCACTGGGTGGGATTTGAGGCCTCTCCAACCCCATCCATTCCATGCTGAGGGCAGAGCTCTGTGCTGCCTCAGCCACGGAAGGCGCCGGGATTGCACCGGACACGGGCGGAAAGACGAGTCAGAAGTTTGATCTCAGCCCCTCTGAGTCAGCAGCCAGGAACATTTTCACAAGCTCTGGAGGTGGTGTAAGAAGGTGCTCCGAGATCAAGGAAACCACAGAAGAGGAAAAGCCCCTGTGAGGGCTCTGCACAAGAACGAGCAGCGGCTTCTGGGGCTCCACGTGGGGTCAGAGCAGAGTGGGGAGGGGAACACCCTGCGCTGGTGAAAGCTGGCCCTGCCATGGAACTGCATGAGCTGTAAGGCCCCTTCCAAGCCAAACCATTCCACCATTCCATGAATCCCAAGAGCAGGAGGGAGGAGAGACTCTGGGGAGGCCGAGGAGTGGTTGTGCTGCTCCTGCCAAGCACAGCCTCTCCCAGCAGGCAGATGAAGCAGCTCCTGATTTTCTACTCTGTGGCACCACAGTGGATGTTCCCAATGGAGCCTGAGAGGAACCTCTGTCCCTGCTTGGAATGACCTTGGGCTGTGTTAAATGGGACTGAGGGATGTGTGTGCCAAACCCATCCTTCCCACTGCCACTTCCAGCCCTCCTCAGCCACAACCTGCAATCCTCAGGAGATCCAATTCCAGTCCTGTCGTCCATCAGAACTGGGAAAAAAATAAATTCCTGTTTTCCAGAGCCCAGGGATCTGTCACTGGGAGTGCAGCCTCTCCCAAAGGAGCCAGCTCCATGTAGAACCCATCTGGGAGCAGCCAGGACTCCGCTCCTGACCCAGGTGAGGTGGTGAAGGTGCAAATGCAGAGAATCCAACCAAATCCAGCCCTCCCGGAGCCAGGGAGAGCCCCAGATGCTCCCCAGCATTCCCAGTCCCTCGTTACCTTCCGTGCCATAATGAGCCCTGAGGGTTTGTGCTGCACTTTGGTGACCACCCCACCATTGCCAGCGCCCAGCTCCGAGATCCTCTCGAAGTCATCGTCCTTCAGCTCCCCCACTTTGGCTTTCTGAGTCAGGAAGGCTTCCAGGCGCTTCTTCTGCTGCTCATCCAGCTCCAGCTCCTCCAGCTTCTTCTGCAGGTCCACCAGGTTAGCCCTGGACAGGGGAGGAGGAGGCGGGAGATGCTCAGCACCAGGGAAAGGAGGGGTTTGTTTTTAGGAAAGTGGAGGGAAATGATGGAAAAGCATCCCCTGCCATGTCCCGAGGCCCTGACCACGGGATCAGCTGCCCAGCACACACAGCCCCTCTGGAGAGGAGCTTTGGAGCAGTCAGGTGTTTTGGGAGAGCCAAGGAACAGGAAAAATCCTTTGGGCCTTAGAGAGGCAGCACCAGACGCCGCTCCCTGTCCCGGGGAGCCGAGCTTGGCTTCGGCTGTGTAACGTGAGAAGGGCTTTCCATGGGGTCCAGCAGCTCCGTTACACCCCCCACCCCAAATCCTGAGCACAAAGGGGGTCTGTGCTCCCCCAGCACCTGCTGCCGAGTCCCCACCGCCTGTGCCAGCCCCAGCTGCTCCGTCCCAGTTGCTGCCACCCCCTTGTCCCCCCTCACCCACACCCAGGGGGAGGTGAGGGAGGGTCTCACCCCATCCCTTCCACCCGGCACCGCCATGTACCCCCCTCTGCTGCCCCAGAGG